CCGGTGAACGATAAATACAACTTGTTGTATGTGTTTTAAATATGTGATGCCTGGTATAATACCGGTTTGTTTGACTCTTTCATTCATTTGAATTGTCTCTTGTACTGCATTTGAATGTGTCACTTTTATTTGTATATGTATTTCTTACAACTAATTACCGTAATTTAGATGTAAGGAAGCCCCTCTCAATTTCGGTAATAAGTGAAACAGTAACTGAAAGGCGAGACTTGCTCAAGTGTTGCTTAATGAACTACATTATTTTCCAATATTAAAAGAAAAAGTTAGTTTATAATATTAAGTATACAAACCTAATACTGTATACAATCCTTCGCATTGTCTCCATTGATAACAACAATATTTAGCTACATTTACATAACCCTAAATTATTTATTATAATAAAGACATATCTATAGCCTAATCTTTTACCCTAATCCCCGGGTTTTATGGCGATCAGCCCATTAACCCGCAACTAATCCCCGCTCGTGGTCAGCGCTCTGTGATCTTCTTGTCATAATTCCGGGTTAAAAGTCGTAATAGAGGGATTTTTCAGACACGCACGACAGCAAGCGTACATAAGACTGGTCTGAAAGGTCAAGGTGGAGGTCGGAATGTATCCTGGCGGTCTTCCTGGGGCGGACCCTGAGTCTGGTTCAGCAGTTTCCTAGTGAACTAGAACGGAACACATTAAATAAACTAGACTTCATATACAAACGTCAAAAATGTAATTAACTAATTTATAGAAAGCTAAGTAAATATAAACCGACCTTTGAAAGGAACGCAACAGTAGAATAATAATTTTGATCGCTTCACATAAATGCCGTTTTCTGTTGTGTCATTTGAAGCATTATCATGGGACTTTGGGAGCGGCGGCGTCATCTTCAGAGAACAACTGCTTGAATACCGCTTGTATTCTTTCTTCCACTTCGACCCCCTGATTGACGTCGCTTGAATTTTTCCGCAATGTTTCAAGACTACTTTAATAAAACAGCTATAGTCTCGTAGTACAATTGGCTTAGTTCTCGACTCACGGATCCGGATTCGATTCCCGGGCGGAACATAAATGGTTGAACTCCGTTTTCTTTCACCTAATGTTCAGTTCACCTCACAGTAAATAGGTAGCCGGGAATTAGACAACTGTTGTGGGGTTGCATCCTGGGGAAGGTCAGTAGTTAGACCTTGGGGGGGGGGGATCTCTACACAAGCCTTAAACACACACACACACACACACACTTCAGAGACAAAATGAATAAAAATATTATAGTGGGGTTTCTTGGCATCAATAAGTGGTGGAAACGTCGGCGATGATGACTGGTGTGAGTGGTGATATTAGTCCCGGACGAGATATATCAAACATCGCGTTCTTCAGCCCCTTACGTCAGCACCGTTCCAGTGACAGGTAAGCCACTGCGGGCTCACCATAGCCCGTGCTACTTGGAACTTGTTCCGAGTGGCTAAATCTATAACAACAACATTCAGCCCCTCTTACGGGCTATTCACACCCGTGCCACCTCTTGGGTGGCTTAATCTTTATCACTCAATCATCAGCCCCTGGACTAGCTTGGCTCCCTCGGGAGGGCTTAACACCCCCCCCCCCCAACCCCCCAGGTAGTCGTAAATATGAGTCTGTTCATCTGTGTATCATTTAAGTCTGACACGTTACCTGGGGTAACGTGTCCGACTTAAATTTTTAATGGCCACGTTTTTATTCCCATCGAGGTTGTCTACCACAACAGCCCTGAGTGTCATTCAGGTCATATTGCCAGTAAAATAATACAACATTTTATTAGTGAGCAGCACCAGGTATAAGGGCAGGCCAGAGAGCGTGACCCGAGAGTTCACTGGCCAGCCTTATGGACCGTCTCTTGACCAATACATCTAAATTACTTATCATTTATCTAAAGTTTATTATTACGCTTTAGCATTAATGTTATCATCATTGATATATATTGTTTATAAGATCATAGTTATAAATTTCTCGTTAATATTATTGTTATATTTAAAAAAGGCAGTTTATATTATTATCGAAGGTGAAGGAAAGATCCAGTACATGTGTAAGTCAATTATCGACAAATTTCCGCATGAAACCCACATCCGTTATCAAGGTGCTGCAAACAATGTTCTAAACAAAATTGTGAGTGCTTGTGTTTATATGTCTGGCAGAGGGCCTCACGCGGCGCTCATTCCATCATACACGTCGTTATCATTATATTCCCCAGGGATTCCCCGAGGGATGTCCAGACTTCGTAGGAATGATCAAATGTCGGACGGGAGACATCTCCCGTCACGCAGGGTGCAGTCGCACCTCCACAGATCTCCAATATCAGCTCTTGATACTGGTAATGGCTCAAAAGGGCCACCACTTACGGGCTATTCATGCCCGTGCCACCTTTTGGGGTGGCTTAATCTTCATCAATCATCAATCAAATGTCCTGGTTTCTGTGGGGAGGGTGGGGAGGGAACATCATCCCCCCCCCACTCTGAACACCAACATGTTCCTGCTATACCCTTACCTTGCCTTGGAGTTACCTTGCAGTTGTTCCCGGGCTTAGCGTCCCCGCGGCAGCCGCGTCCAAACAGCCTTGTTGACCAGTCCAGCTACGAGGAGGCCTGGTCGACGACCGGGCCGCGGAGACGCTAAGCCCCGAAAACACCTCAAAGGAACCTCAGGGTAACACATTGCAACATACAAACACAATTTAATTAGAATCGCACCAAATGAGCAACTATACTTAACTATGTTGACCAGACCACACACTAGAAGTTGAAGGGACGACGACGTTTCGGTCCGTCCTGGACCATTCTCAAGTCGATTGTGAATGGTCCAGGACGGACCGAAACGTCGTCGTCCCTTCAACTTCTAGTGTGTGGTCTGGTCAACATACTTCAGCCACGTTATTGTGACTCATCGCCTGTATACTTACGTACGGTACACACATAAATATATACACATCAATCCCGGATATAATAATAATCAGAGGTAGGGCGGAAGAGGCCCCCACCCCCGCCCCGCCCACTCAGGCGGTTGGGCCAAATCAACAGAAAATAACAAATGAAAATTAGCGGTTTCCCGGGCAGGGTAATGTCGAATAACCGAGAAATTACGTAAGTGAGGCGTAATTAGGAACAATGATATGGAATTTAAGTGGCAAGAGCAAGGTGTATAATTACGATTACGCTAACTCTAATAACAGATCAAAATGCAGTGTAGGAAGGTTTAAAGTGAATAGCCTATGATCATACAAATATAACGGGCTGATACATTTACCATAATTCAAAATGTTCTTTTTTGGGGGAAGGGAAGAATTATATTTGTTAACTAATTATGTTTTATTCATCAATGTTATATATATATATATATATATATATAATATATATATATATATATATATATATATGCCAGATATACACCAATATACGAAATATATATATATAAATATATATTTATTATATATATAATATATATATATATATATATATATATATATATATATATATATATATATATATATATATATATATATATATATATATATATCTCGAGTGTTTGTTTACAAAAAAATATAGTACATTATTTACCTAATAGTCATAACATGAAAACATGTAATCATTATAATTATAGTATTATAATCCTACCTTATCCTATAAGGTAGGATAGGTTAGGTAGGGTAGGCTAAGTTAGGTTAGGTTAGGGTTGGTTATATTATGTTAAGTTAGGTTAGGGTTGGTTAGGTTAGGTTAGTGTTGTTTAGGTTAGGTTATGGTGCTTTCTATCCAGTAGCATACTTCACGTTATTTGTCGCCGATGGAAACAACCAGGAGGCCTGGTCGAGGACCGGGCCGCGGGGACATTGAGCCCCGAAATCATCGCAAGGTAATGCTAGTGGGCCACATTGCGCCATCTGGCTACTAGATAACATAACATAACCTGCTGATCACACCCGAAAACGCTAGAAAACCCATTTTAAATAAAGCTAAAAAAACAGTGACGTTACTTATAAAGTTGCCGGTTATGTGATGCTTTTTATTAGCAATAACTTGATGACCCTAACTTAACCCAGTGTAGTCCACTGGGTTAAGTTAGGTAGTCCCAGTGTAGTCCTAGGTTAAGTTAGGTTAAGAGGCAGGTAGTCCACTACCTGCCTCTCCTCACACGGGAGACATCTCCCGTCACGCAGGGTGCAGTCGCACCTCCACAAATCTCCAGTATCATCTATTGATACTGGTAATGGCTCAAAAGGGCCACCACTCACGGGCTATTCATGCCCGTGCCACCTTTTGGGTGGCTTAATCTTCATGAATCATCAATCGCCTCTTCTCACACAACAACCGTAATCTCACACACACCGAAAAGAGGAAATTGATTAAGCGAGTCATAGCACACGGGGATTGTTAAAATATGTAGGACGATCTGGATAACCTTCAGGAATGAATAAATCTACTGCGGGCTCACCATAGCCCGTGCTACTTGGAACTTGATCCGAATAGCTGAATCTATAACAACAACAACAGCCGAACTTTGATTACGGGCTATTCATGCCCGTGCCACCTCTTGGGTGGATTAATCTTTATCATCAACTTTGAACAATACCAGAGAACTGCAACGAAACTTGTGCCAGCACTTGAAGGATTACCTTTAATTACAAGTGGCTAAGGGAGCTGAAACTCACAACACTTAAAAATATGTATGATCGAGGAGACATGATAGCGACATACAAAATTCTGCGGGGAATTGACTAGGTTGACAGAGAGGAGATGGATGAAACCCGAGGGCGATAAGTCAAAGGGATGTTGGCAGTATCCTTGTGAAGTGTGTGTGTGTATTATAGAAATATATGTAGTAGATATGATAAAGAACAAATAGGTCGGGAGTCAGTACATTTAACAACCCACGGGTCAGAAAGGCGGGGGCCAAGAGCTAACAGCTCGATCCTGCAGGCACAAATAGTAAATATTAATAGTAAAAGAGACTGTGTGTGCAGGGTGTGTGGAGCTATACATACCGTGCCATCCTTGGTGAAGGTGCGAGTAGTAGTCTCTGTCTTCGTCTTGCCCATCCTGTAGGAGACGCAGAAGGGCACAATTAATAATTCAAATACTTCAAACCATCACGTCGCAGAACTGCTTTAACTGCCTGAATTCCCAATCACAGATTAAGCGCTTTCTATATCAACAAACAATTCCAATGACGCTCGGAACTTTTTCACGGGCTGCAGTAGTCAGACGGGAGACATGGACGCTCATCTCTGAGACGATCTGACCCGCTGCTTCGAGCTACCTACAGCCACTGAAAGGCACCGGAGTCGTGAGAGGCGCTCAGCCTGCAGGATTATCACACTAAGATTCTTGCCGGTTGCTTGATCATGCAGATGCTTCAATGCATGTACCCCACTGCATGATAGGGTCAAGGCGTTCATGCAATGGGGTACCGCTGACTTCCAGGTCACTACAATGTACCGACCAAACGGCCCGGTATCCATTCAAAGAAACGCCGGAAGATATCGTTCTGAATGTAGCCTACGTTCAACGCCGTTAGTGGTACACTCAAGTCCCACACGGGGTACAATATTCACACGCTGTATAAACAAGGACCGTGAAATTGCTAGAGAGTATTGTGAATTCTGGTCACTAGATTACATTAGTTTTGAAACACGATATCTTTAAACTCAGTCATCCTAGATTTCGTATCATTGTCACTGTTGTCAGCGATATCTAGACAAGTTCTTGTGAAAACTGTGGGAAGGTTAAACACACTTTAGTAGTTAAATTATTTGTACAAGATAAGGGACAACAACTTTTGAATGTCTTTTTTATAGCGAATAAGCAATTATTCACGTTTAGAGGAATGAGATACGCAGTGTGCAGACCTTGAGAATACACGACGTTCTTGTTGTATGTGACCTTTTAGTCTACATGATGGCTCTTATGTGGACCACGTGTGTGTGTGTGTGTGTGTGTGTGTGTGTGTGTGTGTGTGTGTGTGTGTGTGTGTGTGTGTGTGTGTGTGTGTGTGTGTGTGTGTGTGTGTGTGTGTGTGTGTGTGTACACTACCACACACATTATATGTTGTGGACCACGTGTGTGTGTGTGTGTGTGTGTGTGTGTGTGTGTGTGTGTGTGTGTGTGTGTGTGTGTGTGTGTGTGTGTGTGTGTGTGTGTGTGTGTGTGTGTGTGTGTGTGTGTGTGTGTGTGTGTGTGTGTGTGAACACTACCACACACACCAACCTGCTTGCTAAATACAACAATGGTTTACCTCCTGCATGTGCTATCCTGTGGGGGAAAAAATATGAATGAAGTTTAGACAGTATATTACTTAAACTACAAGTTACACCATGTTAGTAAGCATATTAGCATTAGTATTTCATAAATGGACAAGAGGGTAACTGGTACAGAGTGATCGGCATGCAAGGCCCAGCGTCCGCCACCGTCCACATCCACCAATTAGGAGTTAGTATTCCGCGAGCAAATCCCACTGTATATAAACCACAAGTGACTGCGTTTAAGTACACGATTATTTAAGAGCGGCAGGAATACAGAGGAACCGTGTAGTGGGCGGATCTCTTAAGCTGTGAGGTGGGACACTAGGAGACACAGATCACACCACAGCTACTGCCACACTGCTGCCACTACCACCACTACACAAATCCCAGCTGAGCAATCTTCCCCCCGCTCCCTCCCCTCCCTAAATATTCTCTCCTTTTATTTTCCTATTGGACCCTGGAGCATCGCGCCGTGCGCAGTTTCAAAGTGAGCAAATGACACAGACTCAACGGAAAGAATGCACTCTTTTCAGTGTGACGAAATCTACACTGTTGTCAGTATGTCAAGAGGTATACACGCTTCTCAGTGTGCCCCGATACTGGCTAGCGTACCAGCATATGTACCGGAAGGCACTAGGACTAATGACGAAACTGATAACACATGCAAACAAATGTTCCTTTTTTACTCTACTATGATTTTACATAGAAAAAAAGGTCATATCTACACTTTTTTTTTTTTAGTCAAGACAAGTAAATAATATATTTCGAGACGTCATAATTTGTTGCAACAGGATATGTGTTTATGAGAAAGATATGACAGCGAAGGGGGATATGTATGATGTGAGAGCATGTCTTCCTTCGTTTAAGATTGAATGGATAACGTAGCGATGGTTAACGACCCAGTTAAAAGTATGAGAGAAAAAAAATTGTGATGGATGGACCCCTTTGCCGTACTCGGACATCTAGACCACAAGTAATGGCATCAATTTGCCGCAAAAGATGGCCGTGAGGCTGTGGGTTCGCCCAGAGAGAGAATTGGGTCACACATCTGTTGGCTGGATTGGGTGGGAAGGGAAGGGAAGGGTAGCTCTCACTGCACTTCTGCATTTATTATTTTAGAGCCCAAAGCTGATGTGCGGGAGGGCGACTGGAAGGGTAGTCTCACCATAGCCAGAGATACTTGCCCCGCTCCTGTGCCAGATAAGTTACGGGCTCACCATAGCCCGTTCTACTTGGAACTGGTTCCGAGTAGCTGAATCTATAAGAACAACAACCGAGCACAGGTATGCAGCCACGCAGGTTGCTGCTGACCAAGTAATTAGAAACTAAATATCTTCCCGAAATCCACTTCCAACTGTGATAACAGCTGACAATAAAGCAAAACTAAGAATTTAAATATAGTACAAACAGGACTCGAGTAGTAACTGGAACTGTCCCAATCCCTTATGGTAGCTTCGCCAGAGAAAATCAGTGTTTCTCTCCGCGAATTCGTGCAGAATGTCAACTTTCATTGTCTACTTTGAAGCTTCCTTTAATACTCGTTGCCACCGCTCGGACGACACCCTGCCCAGCCATGCTCGGGAACACCTTCAGTGTCCACAAGAGGCACTTGGAAACATTCTACATCCATAGGTTTACTGGTCTGAGCACTTTTGAGGAGCGTGGGGTCATTAGGGCAAACCTTAGGCATTCTATGTGCTGTTGTGTAGGTCATGGCTGGGAAAAGGGACGGCTGTCTCATGACTTACTGCGCTGGTGGTGAGGGGGAGAGGGGAGGCCTGTTGCACGGTTAGGGGAGAGGGAGGGGCTGTTGCACGGTGAGGGGGGGGGGGAAGAAGTAACTATTCCACGGTGAGAGGAAGGATGGAGCTGTTCCACGGTGAAGGGAGGACCGTGCATAGGGTATAGAAAGTTTGCTTCTTGCGCTTGGAGAGCAAAGGAGTTGGGGGATGGGTACTGCACATGGCAAGAGGGAGAGGATGTCGGGACGAAGAAGAGCTGTGACGGGGGGCTAGGATAGTCCTGGAGGAGGGCGTGGCTCTGAGGCTTGGGGTAGGGCGGAGCAGGAACGCCTTAGGGGTGGTAGGAAGGTGAGGGGAAGCCAATGCCAAACACTCACACAACAAACAACAAACATTATCATGAATATTATCGTGACTGTTATCAAACTTGACGATATTATGCATTTTCTCATTAATTAAAAATGAAAATAAAGCAATGAGTGAAAAAAGCAATAATTATAAACTAAAAAAAATAAAGCAAGCAATGAGAGAGAGAGAGAGAGAGAGAGAGAGAGAGAGAGAGAGAGAGAGAGAGAGAGAGAGAGAGAGAGAGAGAGAGAGAGAGAGAGAGAGAGAGAGAGAGAGAGAGAGAGAGAGAGAGAGAGAGAAAAGGGGGGGAGGGGGTTGTGGAAGGCTTACCATAACCTATTGGAAGGAAAAGTTCTAAGCCTGCAAAAAGGAGCCAAAAGTCGTGTAAAACTGTAACCACCTGAGTAAAATAAAAACAGCAGAGGAAAGAGGTGGCAGGAAAGGATAGAAGGGAGATAGGGGACAATTATAGTGTAAGCGAGGTCCACATGGAGCCAACGAGCCAGGAAGGCCTGCCATCCTTGGCTACAAGCTGCCACCTAGCCCTCATATTGACCCCAGGTGTGCCACCATCCTCCCATTCTCTTTAAGAGTGTTTTACAATTCTTGTGAGTGTGTGAGGGCGTCGAGACAACCAACACGTGTCCACGATGTATGCTGAGAAAGCGTTAACCCCTCACCTTCCCGCACCTGGCCTCCCCACATGTTTACTACCCAATATTTGTCATCATTTGGAGGACATGAATCAGACGATTGCGCTAACAAGTCCATGAAGCGTAATGTCACGTGCACCTTTGTTCTGCCTCTGCACTAGATGTGTCAACAGGTGTAAACCTACAGCCCCTTCCACCACACAGACTGGCAGGCAACGCTACAGTCATTGTATAGTGCTGGGCGGTACTAAGGCAATGTTAGCTGCATCACCAAGCACGTTAGTAACAATGTTGGGAACCTAGCGGCATTTATATGCACTACGACGACACAGCCGCCTGCAAACTTTCTCTTTTAAGTCATAGTTTACACTCTATATATTGTGAGTGTCTCTGTTTACATCTAGTGGTGCGTGATTATATATGACGAAGGAAGGAAGGAACTATCAAGGGAAAGCACCAAGCCATTATGACTATATAGCACTTGAAAGGGGTTAGATGAGGATTTGGGATGAGACGGGGGGGGAGGATATGACGAAGGGATATATGAAAAGGGGGGTATCATAGGTACGGATGAGGGATAGATCATAGCGGTATTGACACTAAATAGGCAGGGGTTTAATGTAGTGCCACATACTTGGCTAGGTTTGTAAGCAGTGCCACAGAGGTGTATAGAATCATGAATGGGAGTGTGTCAAAGAGATGGTGTGTGTCAACAGGTAGTGTGCCATGCAGGTGAGTGGATCAACTTGGCACTATTCCTCACCTTTTATCACCAGACCCTGGCGTCTCCTGGTTTGCTTTATATTTAACGACCTTTCGATTCTTGGACCACTTGAGACGGAAGGTTCCTCCTTTCTTGGGCGTGGAGTGTCTGGACCACTGCACCCGAGCCTTCCCATGTCCCCCCTTGGCAAACTGCAGCGGCATGAGTTCGGGGACGGGAGGTTTGACATGCCGGAGGTTTTTAAGCTGGGGTTTTGGGGTGTGGGTGGAAGGTGTTCGGTGGGCGTGTGTCTGTGAGGGGTGAGTGGAAGGTGTTCGGTGGGCGTGTGTCTGTGAGGCGTGGCGGGATTGGGTTCGATGTGTGTGTTTGGCTTGCACCTCGCACGGGTAGTGGTAGTGGATGTGGTAGTGGGATTCCTGAGTGTGAGGCTTGTGCACATGCGAGGTGACGCGTGCTGCCCGACCAGTCTTAAAGAAGGTGTCTTTAGGGGCCTCAGGAGCATTGGGCAGTTCATACAGAACTGAGGGCATTTCGGATAACTAAGGCGGATTAATGTGTAGGGAATAGAGTCTTCCCAACACATTGAGCACGCAATACATATAAACACATCCGCTCCTTCTTTTCGGTTAAACACTACATTTTAACTGACGAAGGAATGACAGGACCACCAAGAGTGTCCTGCGGGAGCCTCTAGCAGGAGTGAAGAGGCGGCAGAGCAACACGTGGAGAGAGAGGGCACGGGGCGGGCGTCCTGTCCCGGCGTGAGGCTGACAGACACTACCCACCACCAGCAGTACACCGCCACCACCGCACCGGACGATCAATAACATGCAATAATTCTCTCGTGTTGTTCCATACTCACGAATTCAAGGTAAGTGCTCCGGTGAGTACTTACACCATGAGTAATGACCTCACCCACTCATCTATGTGTCGTGCCCAGGTCATCAGTTGACAGACAACAGCGACTTAATGCCTTGTTTGCTCGTTGTACTGGCTAGATTACGATTAACCACACCTTAAGAAGAAATCATTGTGTGTTATACACTATTTATCTCCTGCACACACACACACACACATATATATTGCACCAGGAAGAAGCCTCTGCTCCTGCAACAGGCACACTGTGCCTTCACGCCTGGGGGTGCAGGGGTATAAATCAACGTCAACAGTGGAGTACAAGGGCAAGAGATACCGTGTGTTGGGCATGCGAAGACCCAGGTGGCCCTGGTCAGGGTGCGGCATGATGACCTGCTGCTGGTGGCGCTGCCGGTGCTGCTACGACCGTCTGTCTCCCTGGCCCGCTGCCGGCGCTCTCTCACACCCCGGGAAACTGACAGGAAACCACCAGCGCACTGCACCATTCTCCTCTCAAGAAAATATCTACGACTCCTTCCCCGAGAGTCTCATAATAAATACAGTCTGTTACATTTTTCATTGTTTTTTAAATATGTTATTGGTACATAATATTCGCAATGACACAAACTTGACAGTTTCGTTCGGTTGCACGCGATTCTGCGATCAGTGACTGGCTCCATGGTGTCGAAGTGCAGGCTCACCCACATCGATCAGTGAGTCCTAGTGACTCGCCCCGGGCATCTCTCACCAGATCCAGAACCAACAAGAGACACCAATTTAAGTTTCGAGATCAAATTTTCGAAGGATCCGAGGAAACGGAGGCGGTGGTGCTGGCCGCGCAGGACTCTTCCACCCGCCACACAATCATTCAAAATTTGCTCTCATGTCCTTTTAAAATAAGTAATTATCAAACAAGAAGGCAAGATTGATATCACATTATATAAATAAATGTCTATGCGTGTTCTACTTTAAAGAAATAAACAGAACTAATTGAATGGTTATAGTATATGTAGAGGGATGAGAATGGTGGTGTGGAGATGACACAACCCCGGCAGCCTTGTACTCCACACGAGGCTTCCTTCGTCAGGTATATAAATTATATTTTAATGTTTGTCAGTATCGCATTAGTTCGTGATTTTTATCCTATTATGTGAGCCTCTGGAGCTAGGCAATGGGTTATATAAATTTCAAGGAGTCGTCTCCATTTAATTTCCTATTTGCTGTGAGTTTTCTTGATCCTTCCCAAATTATCGTTACCTTGACTACACACAGAAATCACTACTTGTGTAAAGGAGGAAGAATGTATGTTTATCTCTCAGAATGTTCGGTAATATGTTTATTGTTTGTCATGTATGTCTATGTATGTATTAACACGATGTACTGAACGGGGTGAGAATAGCTTGAGCTACCTCATCCCTTTGTGTGTATTTTACCTCAATAAACTTATTTCAATTTCAATTTCAGAAATCACAATAGCGTGATGTATCAAATGAACAAATCCACAAGGGCCGTGACGAGGATTCGAACCTGCGTCCAAGTGCATCCCAGACGCTGCCTTAATCGACTGAGCTACGACATGGTAAAATACTTGCAACCAGAAATTCTACTGAATTTACTTGGATGGTAATTCTACTGAAGAAAATTCAGTAGAATTTCTGGTTGCAATTCTTTTACCATGTCATAGCTCAGTCGATTAAGGCAGCGTCTGGGATGCTCTTGGACGCAGGTTCGAATCCTCGTCACGGCCCTTGTGGATTTGTTCATCGTTACTTTGCATTTTTGGGAAGAATTCTTCTTCTGCCCCCGTGACACCTCGTCCGGGAAACGAACCCGGGCCGTTAAGACTAAGACCCCCATAGAACTTTCCGCTTGGTCAGCGAGGACATGTGTGTGTGTGTGTGTGTGTGTGTGTGTGTGTACTCACCTATTTGTACTCACTTATTTTTGCTTGCAGGATCGAGCATTGACTCTTGGATCCCGCCTTTCCAGCCATCGGTTGATTACAGCAATGACTCCTGTCCCATTTCTCTATCATACCTAATTTCAAAAGTATGAATAGAGTTTGCTTCCACAACCTGTTCCCCAAGGGTATTCCACTTTTCCGCGTGTGTGTGCGCGCGCGTGCGTATATGTGAGGATAAGTGAATGAATGAGTGAGAGTAAGAGTGCTTTGTAGAGAGAGAGTGTGTGTGTGCCGATAGGCTGCGTGGCCAGTGACCCCTGTGTGCGAGGGTGGGTGCAGCACCACCATTATGGAGGTAGAGAGCATCCGCCACCACCACCTTCAGCAAGGATGGTACGGGGGGGGGAGGAGGCTCTCTACCTGCAAAATGGAGGGATGACTTATGTAGCCTATTGACGATACAGCCTAATCACAACTTCATCCACTCATATCTTCATCATGCAGTTACCCCCTGATCCTACACTCACCCACTGATCCTACACTCACCCACTGATCCTACACTCACCCACTAATCCTACACTCACCCACTGATCCTACACTCACCCACTAATCCTACACTCACCCACTGACCCTACACTCACCCACTAATCCTACACTCACCCACTAATCCTACACTCACCCACTAATCCTACACTCACGCCCTGATCATGCACTCACCACTGGACCATGAATGCACACCACACCACACCCGGGCGAGGCTGCACGGGGCAGACATTCGAGGATAAAGAGAGAAGCAACAAGGGCGAAGAGAGAGGCGCGCGACGGGGACTTCCTTCCGCAGGCGGGAAGAGTGAGGGGCTCAGGTCTCACGCTGGTGGGGGACGGAAGGAGACGGAAAATTTAAGACGTAGAAAAAGGCTAAGCAAGCAGAACAATCAGCTTATGGAGCAGGCAAGAGTCGACTGGAGGTCACTGACGAGAGAGCGCAGGTTTCTGTAAAGGTACGCCGGTCAGCCGTACACAATGGAAATAAATTAGAAAAAAAAATGGGTTTTCAGCCTACCTGCAAATGTTTTATTTCGCCAAGAGAGGAAATTGGTTCTAAATAGTATAGAACTCATTGCAGCCAAAATCAACAATCATTTGTTTGTGCCGTGTTAATGGGATCGTGTCCAACGAATTGACGTTTGGCGGAAAGGGAAATATATTTTAATTAGGCTGTGAGATACTACAGGGAGAATTCCCAGAGAGGTGACCTTACTGAGCGAGAGAACATTCAGAGAACTGCCTTCGTGAAGGAGTGAAAACAATCAGAGAACTGCCTTCGTGAAGGAGTGAGAATAAGCAGAGAACTACCTTACTGAGCGAGTGAGAACACTCAGAGAACTAACCTTGCTTTCCTGAGTGACAGCTGGTGTCTATAGTCGTAAGTACCAGAAAGTACTTGGCTCCGCGTTGGGTCAGTTGTGGCACCACATATTTTACACAATGTTCACACAAAATATAAATGTAACAATAACATCCAAGCATTAAAAAAAAATAGATTAAACATGCAGGGGGTTAGGGAGCGAGCGACTTACCCCGTCACCGGAAAAAAGGGTTAGAACAGAAGTGTAAGGCAGTTATCGTTGGACATGCTAAGCAACTGCAATTTATGGAGCATGCAAATTACCTTTGGCCGAAGGGTGATGAGATGCCGAAGAAGGAACGTTTCTTGCGCTCATTAGTGAGGGTGGTGGTGGGGACACCGGCGGTGGAAGTTGTTGTGACGGGGACACGGGCGGTTATGGTGGGGACACGGGCGGCTGGCGCTGTGGCGGGAACACGGGCAGTGGTGGTTATGGTGGGAACACGGGCGGCTGGCGCTGCGGTAGGAACACGGGCGGTGGTGGTTACGGTGGGGACACGGGCAGTAGGGACACGAGAGGTAATTGTGATAGGGACGACACGGGTTGTTGTCATTGTCACGGGGACATTGGTGGTGGTGGAAGTACGTGTCACCGCGCCGCTCACATACCCGTGCTTGGTGGTGACGAAGCGCATGTTGCCGTGACCCATCTGACCATTGTAGGTCACCGTCTCCGTGGCGGCACCGCTGCTGCTGAACTGGAAGGTCTTGGTTACTCTGGCCCCGGCGTTAGTGGTCCCCGCCGGCCCTTTGGTTATGGTGATGGTATTGGAGGCACGGACGCCTGAGCCGGCGACGATGGTGGCCTTCTTGGTGGGTGATGTTCCCCTAGGGGACCCGCCCCACCGGCCTGGAGTTCTACTAGTTATCATCGCTCCTCCCGTCATATTAAAGTCTTCGTCGTCGTCGCCGCCGCCGCCGCCGGGGTCTAGTTCTAATAGACCCAACTGGGGTTCCTTTTTGGTTTTGTAGTCTTCTTGAGGTTTGGAGCAACATTTACCCATTGAGAAGAGCGACGGTGCTCTGATATACAACCTTAAAGAGAGAGCAATAGGCGGTAATATCTTTTAATATAGCACACCCCTACCCCCCCTATATTATGCATATATCACGATGACAATTTACTGGACTTGCTTGTCAAGCAAGTCCAATAAAGTCAAGTCTCGGGTCAGATTAAGACTCGCGAACATAGGACGGTTGTCTGTTGTCCGACAAGCAGGTTGTTTTCCATACTCGTACTGTGAACTCAGCTAAAGAGGAATTACATCCCAAATTAAAAAAAAAATCAGGTTTTGGATGTTGACATTTTCCTGGAAAGCATGACCCTACCTTCCCTCCCCAGTCCTCCCATACTAAGCATTCTTTAATTCTGGAAATTTTAATATTTGGCATGTAACATAAGCATAATCAAATATTTATAACTGTCGCCAGCATTAACTATGAAATGTTTCTACAAAGGATAGTATATACACTAAAACTGTTTAACACGGAGGTTACACGAACAAGGGGACACAGGTGGAAATTGAGTACCCAAATGAGCCGCAGGGGCGTTAGAAAGAACTTTTTCAACTTTTAACCCCCCCCCCCCCCGCAAGCACAACTAGGTGAGTACAGTAAAATTACTCCATATCCGGTGGTCTTTTACGACAGAGCATCATCCCCTCCGAGTTGAGGCTTCCTGTTGAGGAACTCGAGTCGAGATTGGAAACCAAAGGTTCACTGAACGTTGTGTTTATGCGTCTACAATACAATAGTAGTCAGAAACAATGTGAATATTGGCCAATCCATCAGTGAACTAATGAGAGTCTTGATTAGTAGAAGCCTAGATCAAGACAATCAATGTATTAATGAACGTAATAAGGCCAAGATAATAATACTTCACAGTCCCGAGTTGTTATCTTATGTTATCTAATGTTATCGTGGAACTTTACTTTGCGCTAGAGAGACTTGAATTATGTTGTTTAGTGTTGGTCGTATTACTACAGAATGGTCATAATTTTTCTTCAAACCCTACAACACAGAAGATTCAACTCAGAATACGGGAAGATGTGAGCGAAGGACATAAATGGTTGCGCGGCATTAACAGGAGAGATATAAACAATGTAGAGAAACTATCAAGACTCAGTCGTCGCCTAAGACAGAAACAAGCTGCAGTAATACTTAGTGGGCCAGCCAGGGGCTTAAGGCCCGCGCAGGAATATACTTGCCAAAAAAAAAAGATTCAAATAAGACAAATTTATATTTAAAAGAATGTCAAAGATATAGGAAATATATAATTCGCTCACGGATATTCCGTCTTAACATCGTCTAACCCTTTCTTAATCTGAGATCAATTACATTAGTAGTGGTCATGTGACCTTGTAACCCCGCGGTTAAGATTGGTGTTGATATCACATCAACTGGGGACCAACGCTCTCTCACTCACATGTGTTGTATTAATATAGGTACATGGTCATTGATGCAGCTACCCAAGACTGTATGTAGGGACATACACAGTCTGCGTCAAGAGCTAGCTATGTGATGCTAAGGATTCCCCAATCTCACAGGATGGTTAGTCATACAAGGGCATGTGATCAGTCTAGCAAACTCTGGGTCCATTATGCATCACCACCTTCCACAGCCAAAACACAATCAGTCATTCTCGTCCCAGCGATGATCACAAATCAACTATGTTTACACGCAACTCCAACAACAGTAACACTAAGACAACAAACCCACCCATAGTGTACGGGGCCACAAGTATGCTTGAGCTGCCCACTCGGCCACCTGCACCATCCTTGTCTTTGCCTCTCCCTCCTTCTTTCCCTTTGTTCCCCATCTTACCAAACACTTTGATCACAAAAGTTACACAATACCAGCGAGGTATGATGTGCGTGGCAGCCTGGCCGAGTGTGGCTCACGACCACAAGTGACGCCTCCCATCACGCCAGCGTCAGTAATGACGCTATAATGACGCTATACTAGATAAGAGAGTTCATGGAGGCTGGCTGGAGGTGTGGTGTGGTCCGCGATGCACCACAGCTCTTCACGTACCGTTGTACCACACACTCGCTCACTAAATGTCTTCCGTGAAGCGAATTAATTAGCTTTAAGTTCCATTAAAAAATATGTATACGTATTAATTCGTCCCAGATGAGCTGGATGTCCCACATCGAGGTTAAAATTTTCAGCTTTTTATCTCCTCGCCGCACTAAGCACTGATATGCACTTGTAACAAAATATTTAACTGCTTAAAATCAGAGAGAAACAGCAGGAAGGCACTGCCTAGAGGCGGCAGAATACCGGTAACACGGAGCAAAGTGTATACCTGCGACACACTTTGTTTCATCGCAGCTACATGTGTAGTGGCAGGTGTGTGTGTGAGACAGGTGTGCCAGGGAGTGCCACGGCCAGACATCCGGTGGAGGGTCGGTGACTCCCTACACCACCGCTACACAGGACGCTGGGGAACACCCCCCCCCCCCCCACACACACACACACTACAAGAACACCATAATGGACACCACGAAGAACATGGCAAGCAAAGTGTCACGACCACATACATTACCACAGCGTGTACGGAACAAGTGGCAGGATGGATAACCCAGCGGGTTTTCTTCCTATTGGGGAGTGTTGTACATGCTGCTATGGCGGTATGTCCACTCACAAGATGAGTGGCGCTGCCCAATAAACTCGCCCCTCGGGGCAAAATTTAAAAATTTAAATTTAGAGTACGGACGCTGCACTGCGCACTCTTCCCTATTCTCTCATCTGCTTCCCATTCACACTCGCGTCCCTATTCCTCCCCCCCTCCCCCCCCACACACACAATACACATACAAAAACTCCATTCACAGCTCGGAAGGTGTAGTCAACAGGGCCTGGGTTCGATTCCCGGCCGAGACAGAAATAAGTAGTTTCTTTCACTTGATACCTCTATTCACTTAGTTGTAAGTAGGTATGTGGGTGTTAGACAGCTGCTTCGGGCTGCTTCCTGGGGATGTATTCACCTAGCTGTGCTTGCAGAGGTTGAGCTTTGGCTCTTTGGTCCCGCCTCTCAACAGTAGCACACACACACACACGTGTGTGTTTATGTGTGTAAGAGAAATATATGTAGTAGACATAATAGAGGAAAAATAAATTGGTTAGAAAGGCGGGGTCCAAGAGCTAATAGCTCGATTCTGCAGATACAAATAGTAAAGACACACACACACCAAAAACCACACTAGCATCAGCTGTCAGCGGCAGTAACCTTCGCCGGGTTGTGGCAGCCTATGGCCTTCCTCGGGGATAATCGTCGTCTCTCAAACCCCATCTCAGAATACAGTAACCTGTCGCGAGGCAGTCGACCAGCAAGGCCGCGGAAACGTCAGTTTAAATCGTTGTAATTAGTTCTGCCGCTAACAACGAATGTGGTCTTCAAGGTAAGGTGGAAGGTGATATTACAAGTGCAGGAACCAAATCAGGTCAAAGGCAGTTGACCTGTAGTTAGTTCCGCGGGTTTACTACTCCCAAAGCCCAGCCGGGGGGCTTGTTTGATGATAATCTCATCGTTAAGGCTGTAAATTACAGCGGCACGCAGGCCTATATATTCCTTACTAGTCGACTGATCTGTCTTCCTGCAGGAACCTGGCGAATTGTCTCCTGAAAACCTCCAGTTCTTCAAGGCGTCTATTAGCCACGGCCTTTACTTAACTCTTTTTAACACTACTTATTTATGCAGGTTTTGGTCTAGTTTCTCTCTTTTTCACTTTGTTACAAAAAAAGTGAAAACGGGTAACTAATGATCGTGCTTACCTATGTCTACGGGGGAGTGATATCTAAATCTTGGGCCCCGCCTCATCACTATTCTACTGGTGCAGACATTTCGTCTGACACTGTTGTACTTCGATGTATTTCTTTTGAAATTGTAAATGTATTTAGCCTTCACGACATCTGCTCCTAGATCATCACTTGCTCTCCCGCACCCGCACACGGCTGCTATTTCTCAGATTATGGTTGTTTCCGGCTTCCACCTATAACCCTTCCTTCTATTTCCTATCATATGGGAAAAGACTCTGTACACCTGGTCTATTACCCTCAGGATCTTCCGTTAAGATTATAACTCATCTAGTCCTTCTCTCTTCTACTGGAGTTAGGCTGCATTGTTTTAGCCTGTCATCTAGCTCAGCCTCGTCCCTGACACCAGTCTCGTAACATCTCTAGTTTTTCTCAGTCCGTTTTTTTTACAAGATGGGAATGTCATCCTGCAACAGTCTGTGTGTGTAATGAGCTATGTGTGGTTACAGGATGAATTCGTGGGTGTGCATGTACGTGGGTGTCTGCTAGTAATGTCAGCGTGTGCTTGTAATGTCAGCATGTACGTAAGTGTGTGCATGTAATATCAGCATGTACGTGAGCGTGTGATGCCAGCATGCAGGTACGCGCGACCTTGAGACTGTGGTGTGGGATGCATGGACACAGAAGAGTTTCCTCGTCCTTTAAGCAGCAGGACCATAAAGCTCTCGCCTCGTCGTTAATCTCTACCCGTCGGAGGCCCTCATCAAGGACCCCCACCGCAGGAACTCTACTCCTTTGGAAATCTCATCCAGCATCTTTCACTTATCCCCTCAACAGGACCATAGAATAGAGAATAGTTCCAAATAATGGAACTATTCTCTACAACTCGAGGGGGTGGTCTTCAAGACGGACCCCTCCCCACCCCTCTTTCCTATAGCAGAACCTTATAGATCAAGTCCTCTTTCGGAGGCTCTCACTCAGGATCATCCCTCCTTCCGCTCCTCTACGGAGCCAAGGCCGCCTCGAGAGCAAAAAGGAGTCAGGAGTCACCTTGGAGGACGGAAGGTGGAGGCGGGCCCAGGAAAACGCTGTAGGAGAAAGTCCCGCTCTGATTGGCTGACACTACTGCCGCTGCTTCTCCCGTACTCAAGTCTCACACTTAATTGAATTTATCGCTAATTAATGTCGCTGCTCCTTTAATTGCTTCATGAATTAGACGCGGCAGGATTATTCTGGACCCTGGTCAGGTGAAGGGGTTATTAGGAAATACGTCAACAT